CTCGTACTGCAAAGACACACCCGGACGAAAGCGAGCCAAAAGTTGTAGAATGTTTGTCACACGTTCCTGAGATAGGGAGGCAGACATTAGGCAGGAATTCAGGGTCATTCCTATGAACGTAGTGGTCTGTGATGGAATCAAACGGCTCTTTTTCTTGTTCACAGAAAACCCCAGCTTCTGCACATGTCTCAAGAGCAGTCTGGAGTCTTGTACGGCCTGCTGCTCTGTGGGGGCACAGAGAAGCCAGTCGTCCAAATAAGGAAGAATACGGATACCTCTCATCCAAAGAGGAGACAGAGCTGCGCTCACACACCTTGTGAAGACGCGAGGAGCAAGGGAAAGGCCGAAGGGTAGCACTTTGAACTGGTATGCTTGATTCAGGAAACTGAAACGTAGAAACTTTCTGTGATGTACAGCAATTGGGACGTGAAAGTATGCATCTTTCAGATCGACACTTACAAACCAATCGTCTGCTGTCACAGACCGGAGAACATCGGCTGTGCGCAGCATTCGGAAGGGAAGGACCTTCAGGAACAAATTCAGAAGCCTTAAATCGAGAATTGGGCGGAAACCACCGTCCTTCTTTGGAACAAGAAAATAAGTTGAATAGAACCCGTCTCTCTGAACGAGGGGATGGACCTTTTCTATGGCTCCCTTCTCTAACAGTGAACAGATTTCCAGAGAGAGAGCCACTGCGCGAACCGCGTCTCTGACAATCGTAGGAACAATTCTTGAAAATCTGGGAGGCCGGCGCCGAAACTGTAGAGTATATCCCCTGCTCAGAGTCGCCAACACCCAGGGGTCTGCTGTGTTGGATCTCCAGTACTCCAGTTGCTCTACAGAAAAATGATCGACCGCCGGCCTGACTGTCTCAGGCTTTACGTGTGCGATTTTTAGTGGTCGCGGGGGGACGCTGACGGGGCCCTCCCGGACGGGGCCCTCCCGGAAACTGTCGATGAGGTGGGCGAAAAACTCTCGCATCTTCAGGAACACGAGGTCTTTGAGGGGGCTGTGCTTGAGGTGTAGCGTGCCGGCGGAAATGCTGCTCCGATGCGGCATAGTGATGTCGGGTCTGAACCGCTGGCATCCTAAAGGTAGGGTTGCGCTGCACCTGTGTCAGCTGACGAGTGGCTTCAGACAGCTTTACCCGCTTTTCCAACAGTTCCGGAACATTTGGACCAAAGATATGCCCGGGAACAAAAGGAAGATCTCTCAAGGTTTTCTTACAGTCCTCCGGCAGTCGTGCTTGGGCAAGCCACACTTGGCGGCGGGCTGCCAGAAGCGTGGCTGTAAGACTACCCAGCTCGCGGGTCACATGGCCTGTCGCCAACAGAGCAGTTTGCAGAAATTGTGAAATAGAGGGATCTGCATTTGCAGGTTCCAGCGTACTGGTGGCAGCAAGAAGTAACTGGCAGATCGTGTTTTCTGCTCGAGTAATGTAGGCAACAGACTCGTATGCCTTTTTTAGCAAGGAATCCGTACGACCGCATTGAGCACTGGGGCATCGCACATTCCCTCGTAGAGCCTCATCAGGAGAGACCACCAAAGCTGCCACAGGCTGCTCTATTTCCGGAGCACGACCCACCCCGATAGAATCTGCTTCAGCCATAGATGCTAGCGTTCGAGCAATCTTTGAGCGCCGCTTAGGTGGACCAGAACCAGTGAGAGCATTTGAGAATTCAGCCACAAAATCCTTACATGGTGGCATGGCAAAAGAAGTTGCAGCTGTGGTCTGTCTGAAAAACACATTAGTTTGTGCAGATTGGACAGGTGACTCATCAAGTCCTAGACGAGCAGCTGCCATTCGAAGCACAGCCAAAGTGTCATCGGAGGAGGACTGGGCTTGTCCAGACGACTGAACTGACCCCCCACTAGAGCCCTCTGCTGCTGGGTAACCAGTGAAAACAGCCTGAGGTGATGGTTGTGTAGCAACATCCATAGGATCCCCATGATCGTGAAAAAAGGAATCTGAAGCACTTGTAGAAAGCACATCAAACTCTGAACGATGAGAAAAACAAGGGGAATCAAGAGACTCTTCCCCAGCTCCCTGGTTTTGAACATTCTCATCCTCCTGTGTCATCCTCACAGGTGTAGCAGATGTGACCGGCTGAAGTGAGTGAAGCAGGCGTTTCAGCTCTGCCATCTCTGAAGAAAGCACCGACACCGTCATAGAAAGTGAACCTTTCTCAACATGTGAATGTTCATCATCTCGCGATTTGGCCTTCTTAGCTGGGAGGGGAGCACCAGCTGCCGCCGACGCCCTGCGCTTCCGAGTGCGCGAAGGGGCTACATCTAACTGCCCTAGTTTCACTGTAGAATTAGGGTCTAACTCGGCAAGACGGAGCCGTCGTTCCGACATAGGCAAAAGGCTGCAGTGCATGCACGGGTCCGTGAGAGCCTCTCGCAGATGTTGAACACCCAAACACGACGGGCAGATGTCATGACCGTCGTCAGGGAGAAGATTATTAGGGCACAGCTTACAAGTCAGTGGAAAACCAGTGGCTATCGAGCTGTGAGCCATAGTTACTCGCTAATAACACCCTCGGATAGTACCGTAAGGTTAAGTTAAGCGGGATGAAAAAATAATAAAAATAAAATAAAACGATTACCTCGGGTGAACCGACAGGTAATACCAACAAAAATTTTATGAAAAAAGATAAGAAGTGTCTAAAATGGCCGGCGGATTGAACCGAGGGACAAAAAGTGTTACATGGATACGAGGAAAAAACACTCTAAGTAACGTTAGATAACTTATGTCAACGGGAGACCGTTAACTCATAGCGCGGCAAACACAAGCCACCGGATTGCACCGAGAGGCACAGAGTGTTACCGACGAAGCAATATGAAAAAACAAAACTCACCAAGTGCCGTTAATTTAAATCCAAATCCTTGAAAAAATCCAAATCCTTGAAAGAGCGTAGACACGCGCTGTCACAGCTTGTGAGGACGAATCTCGCTGCTCTTGTAAGCTGCACTTGACAGCGCGTCACTCAACCAATACAACCTATCTCAACTAGGCGAGAAAGCGAAAGAGGTAGAGTGCTGAGCTACTGTAGCTTTACCCTCCAGGGCTCAGCATACGTCACGCCACGTGACTTTGTTGGTATATTCTCTCGACCTATCTAGCTGGCGCTGCGATAATCCATAGTGTTTACACTGCCTCTGGCGGTCAGTAAGAATGAAACAGAACCCCTAGTTGCTCCAGAGGCATGCGACCTCTGACATATATAGCAATTGTAAGTCGCTTTGGATAAAAGCGTCAGCTAAATGAATAAATGTAAATATGATTGGAATCACTTAAACAAGGGAAAATACAACATATGTAGCCGATATGACAGACTTGCAGCTCAAGTCTGTCATATCGGCTACATAGGAGAACATTATAATTGTGTGTTTGGGACATGGTGAGACTTTTGTTTTTGTAATCAGGCTCTCAAAAATGATAAAAAAATTTGGATTTAGATTTATCGGCTAATAAATCGGTTATCGGCTTTCAAATATAAAGAATTATCGGTTATCGGTATCGGCCAAAAAGTCGGTGCATCCCTAATCTGTTGTCATCCACACACTGACTTTCATTGATCCTCATCTTCCCATATGTCCAGTTTATAACAGGGCATGGAAAACCCACACAGCATGATATAAATAAACAGTCCGATATGAATCGGATCTGTTTTGAGGAAGTGGGATGTTGAAATGAAGTTGGAATATTTTCCGTATTGCGGTTGCTCTCAATTACTGACGTACTGTACCGAGAGGTTTTAAAAGGCAGGAGAGCAGGTGGATAACATTGCTTTTAACTTCTAAAAGCGTCCCCGTTGTGTCCGTGGGACATTCCTGAGCGAGACCCCCAGAGTCTAATCCGTTCTTCTGGAATGTTTCTATTTGGCTTGTGCTGGATTTTACTTGGGTTTTTCCTCAACAACAACAACTGTGGCGCTCACCCGTAAGCTCTTAAAATACTTGCCTGTGCACAACAAGATTGTCCTCCTCCTGTCATGTTTATATAAATAGAGATTGCTCTTTTGTTTTATCTGTACTTATGAGATAAGTTTGGACTATGAACCATCTTGTCCATGGATTTATTTAGAAACCTGGGTAATACTTTATTTTGCAGTGTCCTTGTTACATGTATTTACCATAGGAATAACAGTAAATTATGCATAATTACATGCAACTAACCCTCAACCTAATCCTACCCTAACCCTATAGTAAGTACATGTAGTTAATTATTATTACTCAGTAGTACTTAATTATATAATTACACTGTAACAATGACACCTTAAAATAGTGTAACCGAAACCTGTAACATTTTCCAGTTCAATCAAACTCACAAGTATATCTGTGCCGTTCTTCTCTATTTGTCTATTTTAGCCAAATATTTGCTTTTTGTTTATATATATATATCACATAAGACACGTCCAACTGGATAATAACTTCCATTGATGCTTCCAAGGTGAGGAGTTTGTCTTAAAGTCAATAATTTTGTCCCTTAAAACTCATCTTTGATCACCAAAATGACATTTTCCTTGAAATAAAATTTGTAGTGCGTTAAAGTATCTTGAATGTAACTCGACACCCTTGCCTCATTTAGTATGCACGGTTCTATGAATATGCAAATGAGCCCCGCCTCCACTCACTCCCTCAGCTCAGAGATCCACTGGTTGACGATCTGATTGGTTGATCTGATTGGTTACAAGGTCGTTTGTGACGTCAGAAACACCAGCGATTTCAAACCGTGTTTTTGAGACTGTCTTTGGTTCACTGCAGTTTTAAGCAGAAAATACTCAGCAATGCTGTCGACTTATGAACTTACACATGGTTTGTCTTAAAGCGTATTAAAAACACCACATAGACACATAAACAACATTAAAAGCTTGATTTTCACAGCAGGGGGAAGTTGCAGAAGGATGTGTTTAGGTGTCAAAGGCATCCATCAGTAGATCATGTTTTATCTCCTGCTGTAACAACAATACTAAGTCTTTGCTCTTGCTTCTCAGGCTGTGTATTGGACTTTGGCTTTACAGTGACCCGTCCACCATGAGCTACAGCGTGTCCTTGATCGGACCTTCCCCATGGGGCTTCAGACTTCAGGGTGGCAAGGACTTCAGCATGCCTCTCACCATCTCCAAAGTGAGTGTCACCTTTACATGTCATGCCAACTTCAAATTGCCCTTTAAATGTCAATAATAGGTGCATGAGAGACATATTGTTCTATATGTGATCTGTGCGTTCTCAACATGTTGTGCCATCAAGCTGTTGAGTGATGATTCGGATACCATTGACCCTGTTATGTTGCTCATGCTCACTGTCTCTCTCTTTACCTGTAGTCTATCCTGTCTTCAGTATTAATCTCTTATCCGGTTTGAACAGAGCTTGTATTCATATTTTTGAGCAGCGTCTCAGGCGATGCATGAAAGAACAATAGGAAGCTTTTCAGCTATTGGCAATGCAAACTCTTAAGTCTGACTCTATTCTGGTCTCATTGATCCTAAATTTCCAATGCATAAAATTCAGACGTGTATACATTTAACAAAAACAATGTGTAAACGTGTGTTTTTGTCTCAGTTATTCATTGTCTGTATTATTGGACTTTTGAAAAAATACAGATTTTTCTTGCACTGACAGTTTGGTCAACATTGTTTTAATTAAATGTATTTTTATTGTCATCATGATGCATATTTTCCAACTCATCTTTGTAATCTTTGACAAAAATCAAAGAGCTCTTCATCAACTAACATATTTTTCAGTCAAAAATATGTTATGTTCACTCTAACACACTGGCTGACGTATGGAAGCTTGTTTCTGTCACAGAATAAAACATTTTAAAAGATAATTGCGACTTTTTATCTCACAATTGCGAGTTTATTTCCCAGAATTGCAAGATATAAACTCACAATGCTGACTTTATATCTTACAATTGTGTTATAAAGTCAGAATTGCGAGATGTAAACTCGCAATTGTGAGGAAAAAAAGTCAGAATTGTGAGATAAAAAGTCACAATTACCTTTTTAATTTTTTATTCTGTGGCGGAAACAAGCTTCCATACTGACATCATATAAGGCTATTTGCTATGCAAACATTTCTCCTTTCTCTTCCCATTCATTACCAATGGAAAAGATCTACAATTTTTATTTTTTACTACATATACTATTTCACTCAAACCCTTTTTTATGGGCGTAAAATGAGTTGAATGTTGACTTAATTTTTAAAATATCATTGAAGGATATTTCTTTTAATATTGCACATTAGAGGTTATATTACCAGAAGGATTTCCACCAGGAAAAACAGGCATCTGTTTGCGGCCACGGGAAATACATATAAAGTCCAAGTAAGACACAAAGTTAATGTGTTTGGTTTGCCGGATATATTATTTGCCAAGAAAACCTCACCCATCAGTTCTGCTTAAACACAGGCCATCTGGCGCATGTATTCAGCTCATTTCCCATTGATCTTCATGTCCCTGAACGGCCCCCGAATGCAGGTCTCTCACCTGGCGTCCACATGCAACACTGGGCTCACAGGGACGTTATGTATCATGAATCTGTAGCACAGGAGCTCTAGTGCGCCAGATGCACTCTTAACACTCAAACGGAGACTTTAAACCCCAGGGATATCTGTCTGGAAGCACTGCCACCATAAATCTGAGCTCAGATTTGGCCGTCGGCACTGGCATGCATTAGGTGAGGAGATGCTGGCATGGCCGTTCTCAAGCCGTACGCCGGTGAATGCTTAGTGCCGTATGGATGTAGTAACCAGTGTTGAGGAAAGTTACTTTTAAAAGTAATGCATTACAATATTGCGTTACTCCCTTAAAAAGTAACGAATTGCGTTACTTTTTATGAAAAGTAATGCGTTACATTACTTTTGCGTTACTTTTTATCACCTGGGCTGGGCTGGCTTGCTTGCTTGGTGTTTTTTAATAACAACAAAAAAAGTTTTAATTTTGGCAAATGTTAAGGCCTTTTCACACCAAAAGTGAAATGAATAAGCCTCAGGTTGAAGGAAATGCATATTCACGCCTGTATAGTTGAAACAAACCTTTCAACTGCTGCCATTCTGGATTAAAGAACAATATGGATTCAGAAGGAAGTTCAACACGCTTATTTCTAATTCTAATCTAAAGTAATTTTTGATTATTCTTATGGTTGAATTAGATAATTGAAGGTCAGCAGCAAAGACATTGGTTAATAAAGTGAGATTAAATACATAAAGTATATTTGTGTAATTTAATAGAAGAGTTTTGCGTAAAATTATGAGATTGCATTTTACTGTTTTTATTCGTTTTGAGGGATACTGAATGTTTCGTGCAAGTTCTACAAGTATGCATGTTCATTTAGTGTGGAACTAAAATAACCATCACACACACACACACACACACACACACACCTCCTCACTTTTTCTATCAACATGGGGACAGTAGAGCTGTCAGTCAATAAATGTGAACAAGTAACTAGCGTTACTTATTTGAAAAAGTAACTTAGATATTTTGTTGCAAATTGAAAATGTAATACAGTACTTTACTAGTTACATTGAAAAGTAATCTGATTACGTGACTCAAGTTACTTGTGATGAGTTGCACACAACACTGGTAGTAAGTATTTCTGTTGTTTGCTCCTGGGTGATTTGGTACTGATCTCCTTTGACCTGTTGCTCTGCACATCCAAGGCTTAATCGTGTGTAATGGATAGTGACAGCAGCGGAAACTGTGGGATGTTGTAGATATCAGGATGATATGTCTCTTGTTATCTGTTGCTTCACCACAAAGGCAGGCCTTCTATGGGATTGCGGCTTGGCTGTCCACTGGGCGTCGAGTGGAAAGAGTGGCCTCGCATGCCATGCACACGTCAAATCAAATCAGCAAATCCTCATATTAGAGTGATTTCTGAAGGATCATGTGACATTGAAGACTGGAGTAATGATGCTGAAAATTCAGCTTTGATCACAGGAATAATTTACACTTTACTATATATTCACATAGAAAACAGCTGTTTAACATTGAAATAATATTTCACAATTTTGTCTATTTACTGTATTTTTGATCAAATTCAGCTTTCGTGAGCAGAAGAGACTTTCAGGAACATTTCAAAATTCCCAAACTATTGCACGATAGTGTAATAATATAAACGTTACAAATGAACAAAAACACCAGATTTACTAACAGCTTCCGTCAGCACAAAACCTCTTTTGGCGTTAAAAACTACTGTCAGGATTTACTATGAAAAATTAGCGCTGTAAAGGCGAGGACAGGGTTATTTCTGCGGCTGACCGTATTGCATATGAGTTTCGCTTTCAGGCGCGGTATTTATGAGTGGAGAGTTTTTTAATCAATCATGCAACGTGATTTACAAAGGTTTAAATTAGTCGATTTACTGGTATTTGCGCCATTATTTAACGTCTTAATCAAGCGGCAACCTTCCGGTCTCTCTCTTAAAACCAACACGGACGTGACAAACTGCAATTCATCGACTGGCCACTAGAGACCGGCTCCAAAAGAGTCAATCCCATGTTAAAATGCCCAACTTTACAGCAGAAAAACATGTTTACAGCCTGGTGCAAAAGTGGTTTTGGTCTATAAAGCTAATTTTGCCCTTCATGAAAACTGTGAGGGGGGTGAATTCGTTTTTTTTTTATAACTCATCTGTTTAAATTATATGAAGCCTAAAAGTTCTGCATAATTAAGGGCGTGGCCAGTTGAGTGACAGGTGGATAGCCGCTGATGTCACTACTAGCCGTTTGTCTGCTGTGTGTTAGCGTCACCTCAGCTAATCCGCCTCGCTGCACATGTTCGTTTATCCGCGAGTGACGCGCGGCCAAGATGGCTCCGCCCACTTTGGGCTTCAAAAACGCTCTTCAGAAACACCACGGGTGCCGTCACACACACTACATCCATATTTGTTTACAGTCTATCGTCTTAACTCATATTCCACTCGTGTTGTTAGTAGAACACACGCACCGGATTATCATTAGACCTATCAGTTAAAAATCTTCAAGATCGGCTTGAGACATCCTTACAATAAACTCTTCATCAGTAATTTTGCTAACGCCGCACTTCGACCGCCTGTGATAAGCACGACGGATAGATAGTGTTCATAAGGCCTCTGGATGTTTGCAGAAGGGGTGTGTGGTGACCTAATTCAACCGACTGAAGTGGTCTTGTGCCTCATCCACCCGTAGGACACGAGGAACCGTGACGCTTTTACAGCAAGGCTTTTCTGGGAGATAATGGCTCTTCCTGTCAGAGGAAGTTATTTATACTCTCTCCGGGCTTCGGGGAGCGGGGGAGATGGAGGGACTGACACCAGCAGTGGAAAACTCTGGAACCAGATCCATATTATCCCTTATTTGGTCTGGTCGCATGAAACTTTTCAGCTTCGGGGGGGAAATTATCTCAGGTTTCTTTTGATTCATACAGAAAGATTTTCCTCTCACTTTCTCATTCCTCAGCGCTGGATTGAGTCGTGGATTGAGTCGGAGCCGCACCCTGGATGTGTCGAGGCCTGAAACTCACGCCGCAGTCGCACAGAACCACTTTACGAGAGTGACGCCGAGCCAAAACTGCTGCTTGAGTTTCGTACGGATGCCATAAATGCTTTCGCCGCAAATCGTATAAGCCCATCTGCTCTTACTTAAGAGTATTGGGTAACTTTTCTGCTGTTCTGACACAGTGACTGAATGCTGAATGATATCAGACATTATCTTTTGCATTGGGCATTCATTATTATTATTTATTTGAAGTATTTTACAACAATACAATGTGCAAAAAAAACTGTCATATGCATGTTAAAGATCCAAAAATATACAAATGAATGCCTTAAATTGGTTCTACAGTATAACTGGTGTATCGTAATTCTGAACATGCTTGGAGATTAATATATGATGTACTTCAATTTATTAAAATTTAGAAAATATTTGATAACTTTATTTATTTAGTTGTTTAGTCATTTATTTATATACTCATTCATTTTATTTATTTATGTTTGTTTTTTTGTTTCGGGGTTATCTAAAACTAAAACCATAAACGTTTTCATTACTAGAAATAAAAATTAACTAAAATAAAATATCTTATTATTTTAGCTAGTTGCCAAATTATATCTCATCTTTTAGTTTAGGTTGACTAAAACTTCTGAATC